GTCCACGTGTCCCAGGTCGCCGATGACGACGTCCACATAGTGCGCTCCGTAGTTTTCGGTGTCTAGGTGTATCAATACCTTGAACTCGATGTCCACGTGTCCCAGGTCGCCGATGTGCACAATCCGACCGCCAACATCCACGTGGTGCACATTAGGTAACGCTAATGCCGGCGGTAAACATCATTTTTCAAGAAAATGCATGGTTCGCTTCAAAGTCATGTAACTCGGTTAAGAAAAATCGTAGGAAAATTAAAAAAAAGCATTTTGTAGGTAAAATATCGTAGATTGTGGAACTTGTATCAAATTTGTCGAGAGAAATTTTTTTATCGAGCTACAGTGTGTCAAAAATACGTAATTTTAAGGAACAAAACAATGTATTCTTTTTTAAAGCACAGAACGAGGAAGATGAATATATCGAAATATATCATTGACAGAGTTTTAAAGTTGAAACTTGAAGCTTTAAAATGCTTTTTTAATTTTGTGTCTACGATTATTTTTCGCCGAGTTTCAGTGGTTTGAAAATAGCCCAATTTTTAGGGTATGAAAAGTGTTCCCTATTTTTTTTTAGTAGTGTATATTTCAACTATTTTGAGCTAAATTATTATAATTATTATAATTATTATTATAAATTATAATATAATTTATAATATAAATTTATAATATAATTTATAATAATTATTAATAATTATTATAATTATAATACTTATTATAATTGCCAAAAATTGCCTTATACAGAATTATATGTACATTGTAAATATTAAATTCAATAATTTTAAAAATTGTTTTACTTTTATTAATATTAAAAACGCATAATGCAAAATAGCTTATGTATTGTACAAAACGGACTTGACGCATATACTATACATGCAACAAATTTATTTATTATATTATGATGTGTTGCTTTTTATATGTGCATATTATTATGTTTGCAATTACCTAATCTATTCTGAACTTCCATTACCCTACTGAGAAACTCTATTTGCAATTGTGCTCTCTCCTTGTAAGGGAGCCGACGGAGTCCATCAGCCAAGCTTAGTGCGTAGCTATGCGTCGCGTCATGTTGTGCTGGCTCGGTCATCAGTGTCGCAATAAAGGAGTCATCTAAATTATTTTTTTATTGATGATTTTCTTTCTAAAATTTTATTATATACATACAGTAAATACATAAAATTATGATAAATAATTTTAAAAATGAGATTAAATTTATCCAACAAATGGAAGCTTATTAAAAAATTTAGTTTTCAATTTGGATTTTTATGTGTTTCAACTTGAAAATGAATATTTTTAGACGTTTTAATCATTCGTAATGCAAATTCGTTTCATTGTGCAGATTTTGATTAACTCTCGTGATGAATTCTCGTTTATTAGAGCTTATTGTAGAAAAGAAATAAAAATATAAGGAAAATAAATGTACATATATTACTTTACACAATTTTTATCACGTACAAAGATTTATACCGATTTTTATAATTTACGTTTATACTTAACATGAAACAAAGCTGTAATGAATATTTAAGACAAATTATATATATGATAGTAATTAGTTACTTACTTTTCGATGAATTGAAATTATGGCTTGAACTTGATGTAGAACATTCCTCTATATTCACAGCCGATATAGACGATATCGATGACATTGGTGAAGATGGTACTGACAAATTGGACAGAGTAAGGTAAATGTACCAGTTATTGGACAGTTAGGAATTTGCGTGACAATATAATTTATTTTAAGTTTATTAGATTCAAAATTTTTTTTTATTATGAATACCTAGTATAAACGGATGCTTTCTGTAACTAATTTTAATATTAAATATGTTATTCATGTCAATTGTAAATTATTCCAAGTCATAAATATGAGAGGAGTCACATGTCCTAATTTTTGGACAAAGAAATGTGATGTGTCTCTATGTCCACAAAGATATGACCCAATTATTGGACAAATATTGAGCGATTCTTTATTATAGAAAAAGATCATATTTAAGGTGTCAGGCTTGTAAAATAATTAGTTGAAATCGTAATTAGCAAATCATTTTATAAAATTTTATTTGCAGCTTTACAAAATCTGCTTTTTTTAGTGAATACAAAATAAGCAAAATGTTTTTGATCCTTATTTAATATTAGTTAATATTTATAATACTGGCTAATTAATAATAAGTAATACTGGCAAATATTTTAGTTAGAGTCGCTCCTCTGCTCTAGTTCTCCTTTTTTTTAAATTTTTAGCAATAATCTGTTCTTTCTTTATCAATTTTTTATTCTCTGCAATGAGTCTCTTCTTAGCCTTTTCTTCTGCTTTCTCTTTTTGAACTAGCTTTCTTGCTTCTCTTTTATCCTGTAATTCTTTCTGCTTAGATAATTTTTCTTCCTCTTTCTTTTTTTGATATGTATTCCACTCGTCAGATGTCAAAACAGAGGGAATTTTATCTATTTTGCGCATTTTTTTAGAAGTTCCTGGTACTGTGGGCCATATGTATAAAGATTTCCTTGAAAAATAATTCATTTCCAATGTCTTTTCTATAAGATATATCTTCCAATTGTAAATTTTCTTCTAAACATTAAAAAAACAATATTCAAATATTAATTTCAAACAATTTGTAAAAAGTATTCAAATTTTATCTTACCATTAGAACTGTTAGTATTTTGTGTATTTTGCGACGTCGATTCAAAGGACACTTGAATATTTGGCTTTTCAATTATTGCGTTTTTAATTAGGGAGTTAGGAAAGATCTCATCAGAGGAATGAAGGATTTCTGTTTTCGGGAATATTAACGCTGTCTAGAAAAGGGTTTGTTTCATCTTGATTTACGGTTAAAGTAATATCGAGTAAAAGCGATTCAGTCGTATCAGTTTCCAAAATGTCTGTAGTCTCATTATTTATCAAAGTATCGCAAACTTCTATTTTGTCTCCTGAATGATAACATAAAAATTTGTAAAATAAACTCGAAATAATAACATAATTTTGTGTAAAAATATATTTTTTTAATATTTTAAGTAAAAGTAAGGTAAGTACTTACTTACCGGCTAATTGTTTTATTTTGAGCCAATATTGATATAACCCTTCGTTAGCAAGATCAATAGGGAGATTTTGTAATCCTACTTTTTCATATTCTTTGAAAGAAGAAAGAACATCAGTTGACAGATTTTTTTCAAAAAAAGTAAGATGCTTTTGAAATTTTTCTTTTTCATCGTTGATATCATTTCTATTTTCTTCGTTAATAGCCGATTCTTTGTCGAGATTTATCGTGGTGAGCTTATTATAAGGAACAGCATTAGGATCTAAAGGAAATAGACCACACACACAGAAAGCGTTCTTTGCAATAGATTGAAAATCCATAGAATCAGTTGTTTTTTTAAGTAAAGGAGCAAAGTTGGATTTTCTAAATTTATCATTGGGATGTTGGTATTTTCACTCATTTACAGCTTGTAACCAATTCTTCTTTAAAGGACCAAAGAATCCGACGTCTAATGGCTGAAGAATATGAGTTGCATTCGGGGGTAATGCGATCACTTCTATGCCCTTATCGCGACAAAATTCTGAGAGTGGCATGGTAAGATGCGAGCTATGCCCATCCACATATAGAATAACCGGTAATTTTATTTTATGACTTAATAACCATGGATAAAACACATTCGCAATATATTCATAAAAGCTTTTAGATGTCATCCAACCCTTCTCTGTACAGCCAAAACTCCACTCTTAAAAAATACGTTTTTAATCGAATTGTTGTTAAATAAATGAAAAGTAATGACTGAATGCAAAAGACAAAAAAATTTTTGACATATTTAATGTAATAAATAATAAAAGTAATAAGAAGTGAAAAATCTACCTTTAGTATTTTGCTCGAAACGTCAAATGGTATTCGTGAATACCAATATAAAATCATTGGTGATGGAGTGTCTCCAGCAGCATTCACAGTATATAGAACAGTCAAGGCCTCTTTATCACTGCCATCCACAACTTTGTGAACAGTTTTTGATCCCCTTCTAGCAAGAACACGATCTCCACTTGGATTTAAGAAAAAAGCACTTTCGTCGCAATTAAATACACGTGAAGGATCAATATTGATAAAGTTCTTCAACTTTAAATAATTTTGTACTTCAGCGAACCAAGCTCGAATTTTTCCTTCTGTTGCCTTGTTACGAGCATCACTTAAATTTTGGCTCACCCGTTCCGAAATTCGACAATGGCGTTTTAAAAAACTGTCAAACCAGTGCCTTCCTGGTCGATTTTCTTTAAATGGAGAAGTTCTTTTATTAAGATCGAGGTAGAGTTTTATGTTGTCCAAAAGTTGTATTTTTGTTACTAGACGTTTTGCATCAAAACGTTCTAAAATCCATGTTACAATTTTATTTTCTTCCTCGACAGATAAAATTGTTTTTGGTCCTGGTCGAATAATCAACTTTTCACAATCACCTCGATTTTTTAAAAATAGTGTGCTCTTGGGAATATTGTACTGTCGCGATGCTTCTCTCAAAGTTGTACCTTTCTGTATTAATGTTAAGGCGTTATCAAGATCAGCTTGGCTGTATTTATATTTTTGGCGTACTTTTGTTCGTTTTCGAATATTTTTTGACTTCGCCTTTAACAAAAAAAACAGAATTTATTACATTTATTAACGTAACTTCGGATTATGTTTTAAGGTTATGTTTAAAACAATTATACGAAATTGTTATTATACATCAACTAAAATTTTTTTTCTTAAAACAAATAATAGCTTGTATTCTAATTGTAATGAAATATTGATTAACTTACCATATTTTCATCAAGCTCTTATTACTTTTTATTGTTATTGAACACTATAAATACAGTTAGTGTCACAGATTGATCAGCTGTCCAATAACTAGTACAACTGTCAAATTTCGGTGCGCTTATTCATGGACAATCGTCCATCCACTAGGACATTCGCATGTGCGCGTGCATCACTTATTGGACAATCACTTTTATTAATTTTAACAAATAATTTGATATTATTTGATCAATTTTACACTCGAAATTACTCATAGATTAATATTTTTAATGTACATATTTTGCATATAATGAAATATCAAAATTATAAATAGTTATACTCTTAAGAAAAATAGCTCTAGTTCTTAAAGCTCTTGCTTAGACAAAATTATTTTACTTGTTGCCGTCATCACGTTATTTTTGAAAATATTTATTCAAGAGATAATATTTTCAATATGATTAAATTATGAAACACTTAATTTCTAAATAATATAAATAATTATTAAAAAATTTATTTATAGTCATAAATGTCAGCAAAAGCTTAATATTTAAAATTTATGACATTTTGTCCAATAATTGGGTCATGTCCACTAATTGGTACATTTACCTTACTTACTGTCCTAATGAAATAAAGAAAAAAATATATAAAAGTTACAAAATTATTAGTTCAATACTTATCATGAACAATATAACTATTCTTACTACCATTTTAATGGTAGAGAAAATGTTAACATTGATTTTGAGAGTATTATAAAAATTTAGTTTAAAAACTGAAAAATACATATTTAAAAAATACAACATAAAAACTACATTTTCTGTTTAATTTTTAAAACTAAAAAAATATATTTATGAAAATTGAATAATAATAAAACATGTAATTTTTAAAATATAACCCAATATATTTACACAACTAAATTTTCAGTTCTTATTCAACAAGAAAATTATACATACTGTTTCGCTTCTATACAGTCGCTTAAGAAACTCATGGCCTCATAAAAGCGGAAAGTATTTTTCCTTGTTGCAGGAGCTGCTGATCCACTTGGAATATATTCGTTGCTTTTTTTCCTGTCCTTTATATAACAGTCTTTTAAATACTTCCATCTTTTTTTGATACTAGAGACATCCATAATTCCTTTACAATATTAAAAATTAAAGATACAAAAGGTTATATTTTTAGGTACATACGCATAGTCTAATAAAATCAATATACAGTTTAGAATACTGATTCTTTTTGTATTAAAACATCCAATTAAATTTTGTACAGTTGTTAATTATAAAAATAATTATATACCTCCCATCATATTGCTGACCTCTTGCCACAGAGCTTTTTTTTTAATAATGTCCGCTCGGCAATCGGTAACCGGTGATCATATAAAGCAGGCTTCTGAGCAACACATGCTATTAGAAGTTCGTCCGTTGTTATTTCTGTATCTTGTAATTCAGGAAGATTGACATCCTGTTCGGGAAGAGTATCGGTATCTTTATTTACTGAAAAGTATATAGACATTATCAAATATAGATTTATTTACTGTAAATAGATAATAAATAAATACTGTAATATTGTATTTATTTACAGTACAATAAATACTGTAAATAAATTTGACTGTAATGCAGAAGAGAGGACAAAATAACGGAGTTTTCCAAATTTTCTAGTAAATAATTACAATTGTAATACTTACAATTCGTGGATGATAAATAAGGATAAATTTACCTATAGTTATGATGTTATTCTCATCGATATAAATCATGTTTGTGGCTTCGTCATATTCAGAGAAGCACGAATGTTGTAACAAGTCCATATTCTGTGTTACAATCCATCCACAGTATCCACATTTTTTGCTCTGTGTACAGATCAATTATTATTAATACATTTAGTACATGTATAGAGATAATATCCTAAAATAGAGGACAAAATTAACTATGACGTTATGGTATTTCATATACAAAAGCAGGTCTAGTCACTTGATATATCTCACGTATATGAGAAACGTAAAATACAATATGTATATACATATAAATAATTCAATTGCGATTCAAATAAATTCTGCAATGTTCCTTTACACGGTAAAACAAATATTTCAATTTTAAAACTTTTATTTAAAGTAAACTCGTAATAATCATTAAGGTAATTACGAGCTTCATAAAGCTCGTAATCATTAATCTAGACTATACAGCTTTACATAAGGAATGAAGAATTCATTATGAAAAATAACAAAAATCTCATAATCATATTTGACCTTTACCTATTTTTTGGATACTAGACTCCCAGCAAACATGGAACATTGTGCAATATTGTAGCAACGTTAAAGCAACGTTACAGCAATGTTATAACATTGCCGCAACGTTGTTGCAATGCTGTGTTTGCTGGGCCTTTAGTAACCATTAACCTATATCTAATCCGATATAGGTTAATGGTTACTACCACCATAAATCAGCCTTAACCTTATATACTTACTAATTGTGATGATTTAACGCTGCTCATTTTTCTTTTAGCTTATTTTACTGCTTATCTTGTTTAACACATACAACGTTTTTATTGCACTACGTTATTGCTAAGAAGACTTTCTAGTCCCGTGTGTGTGTGTGTGTGTGCATATACAGATGTATGTATATGTTAACTGCGCAACTGCGAAAAGTTATTCCGCTAAAACCTACTGAAAACTGCGGAACGCTCGTGATTGGTTCCGCTCTCGTTCCGCGTTACGCTATTCCGCTCCATGGGACGGCACCCTTAA